CTATCTATCTATCTATCTATCTATGTCAGGGTCCCTTCATATCCTTCTGTCGACCCTTCTATGTATGTATGTATGTATGTATGTATGTATGTATGTATGTATGTATGTATGTATGTATGTTCATTGTATCTCGCTCTTTCTATCTTGTTGTAAATTTGTCTCAGTCTCTCACTTTTTACATTCTCTATCTCTGTCTCTCTCCCACACTCTAGTCAGTATCTCTCCACACAGTCAGTATCTCTCTCCACACAGTCAGTATCTCTCCACACAGTCAGTATCTCTCTCTCTCCACCCAGTCAGTATCTCTCTCTCTCCATCCAGTCAGTATCTCTCTCCACACAGTCAGTATCTCTCTCCACACAGTCAGTATCTCTCTCCACCCAGTCAGTATCTCTCTCTCTCTCCATCCAGTCAGTATTCTCTCCATCCAGTCAGTATCTCTCTCCACCCAGTCAGTATCTCTCTCTCCACCCAGTCAGTATCTCTCTCCATCCAGTCAGTATCTCCATCCAGTCAGTATCTCCATCCAGTCAGTATCTCTCTCTCCACCCAGTCAGTCTCTCTCCACCCAGTCAGTATCTCTCTCCATCCAGTCAGTATCTCCATCCAGTCAGTATCTCTCTCCATCCAGTCAGTATCTCTCTCCATCCAGTCAGTATCAATCTCCACCCAGTCAGTATCTCTCTCCATCCAGTCAGTATCTCTCCATCCAGTCAGCTCTCTCCATCCAGTCAGTATCTCCATCCAGTCAGTATCTCCATCCAGTCAGTATCTCTCCATCCAGTCAGCATCTCTCCATCCAGTCAGTATCTCTCCATCCAGTCAGTATCTCTCTCCATCCAGCTGCATTCCTCTCTCCATCCAGTCAGTATCTCCATCCAGTCAGTATCTCTCTCTCTCTCCATCCAGTCACATCCTCTCCACCCAGTCAGTATCTCTCTCCATCCAGTCAGTATCTCTCTCCAGTCAGTATCAATCTCCACCCAGTCAGATCTCTCTCTCCACCCAGTCAGTATCTCTCCATCCAGTCAGTATCTCTCTCCATCCAGTCATTCTTTGTCTCTTTCTAGTCATTCTTTCTCTGACACCTTCTCTTTCAGTCATTCCTTCTGCTCACATAATACAAGGAGTTAAAAATTTGGTTGAGACAGCGGCAAGGCAGGAGGGTGCAGGTAAGGAGGGTGGCAGGTAAGGAGGGTGGCAGGTAAGGAGGGTGGCAGGTAAGGAGGTGGCAGGTAAGGAGGGGTGGCAGGTAAGGAGGGTGGCAGGGGGTGGCAGGTAGGGGGGGGTAGGAGGGTGGGAGGAAGGGGGTGGCAGGTAGGAAGGTGGCAGGTAAGGAGGGTGGGAAGGAGGGTGGCAGGTAAGGAGGTGGCAGGTAAGGAGGTGGAGGTAGGAGGGCGGCAGGTAAGGAGGGGGGGGGGTGGAGGGGTGGGGGCAGGAGGGGGTGGAGGGTGGGAGGTGAGGGGGCAGGTAGGAGGGCGGCAGGTAAGGAGGTGGCAGGTAAGGAGGGTGGCAGGGTAAGGAGGTGGCAGGTAAGGAGGGTGGCAGGTAAGGAGGGTGGGGTGGTAGGAGGGTGCAAGGAGGGTGGCAGGTAAGGAGGTGTAGGAGGGTGGCAGGTAAGGAGGGTGGCAGGTGGGGAGGGTGGCAGGTGGGGAGGGTGGCAGGTAAGGAGGGTGGCAGGTAAGGAGGGTGAGGAGGATCGAAGAGAGGCAATGGAGGCTAGGGAGGAAAGAGTGGGAGGAGGAAAGCTGAGGGAAGCTGGGAGGAAGGATGGAAGGAGCAGAGAGACAGGGAGACAGAGAGACAGGGAGACAGGGAGACAGGGAGACAGGGGGCTTCTTGGCTCATCAGGTTTACTAACAAACTCCTCCTGGACTTGAGCTTCACGCCGTGTTGATCAGAGTTTCACCCAAGCGAGTAAAAGTTCTTAAAAACACGTCATGAGTCTTTCAGTTCTGCGGCAAAGAAATCTTAAAAATACGTCACTAACTTCACAATCTGTGGCCCTTCAACTCTCACACAGACATCATCAATCTCACAAACTGTAGCACGTCAACTCTCATACAGACATCATCAATTTCACAAAGTGCATCACATAAACAAATAAAAAAATTCATAAATTGTAAACATATCAATATAATATAACTCTCAAGCCTCCAAATCCTCCCAGACATGTTATTAATCCCACAGACTGCATCAAATCTTACAACAAACTACCAACACATTAATTAGAGCTTGAGCTGTTGAGCCACCTGACACATTCCTGAAGTCTCCAACTCACACAAACACCTCACTAACGTCACACGAACTATTGCTTAAATATCAACTATGATCGTAAAGTCTCACAAACAGTTCAAGAACATCACAAATCATGGTATATATATTTTTTATAACTATAGTAAGTAGTAGGTAAGGGTCAGCTATCAAACAGGGAGGTACTGCCGCCTGTGAAGATATTGGAAGCATAATGTATTGTCTAATCGAATTAAGTCTCACAAACAATAACGATAAAACTCATAAACCATAATAGCAATAACATTCACAAACGCCTGAGGAGTCTCATAAACAGTATCATCAAAGCTATTCTGAAACCACAAACACTCAAAAACACAACATCAAACTCAACAAACTGTATCATCAACATACGAAAATATCCCAATTCTTCTAAACTCTTACAAACGGTTCACTACCATAACAAACAATACTATTAACATAAGACAAATTTACATATATCCAAAATGCCGATATATTCCTTATAGTTTCGTCATATTTCCCAAATATCCAAGACACATATAAATATAACTTCATAATATCGCTGAGGTCGAGTATTGGAATATTGAATATCGAAGAGGTTAAAGGCTAGTCCTGTGGAACGTCTATCTCTCTGAAGATTAGAAGAGATAGAGAGAGAGAGAGAGAGAGAGAGAGAGAGAGAGAGAGAGAGAGAGAGAGAGAGAGAGAGAGAGATTCTACCAGTTATATAATATTCCCCAAGGTTGAAACTATCTTCCTGGATTGTTGTTACATACCCAGTAATAAATCCGCTCTCTCTCTTCTCTTCTCTCTCTCTCTCTCTCTCTCTCTCTCTCTCTCTCAGGAAACTATTATATCCTTTACTTACACTCTTTCTGTTTTTTCCTTCTCTCTCTCTCTCTTCCTCATTATCTCATTATCTCATTATCTCTCTATCTATTTATCTCTCTCTCTCCTTTAGAGTAATCTTGTTCACAGCAAGTACGAACCAAGGGTATACACCTGACCTGTTCTTCATTTCCACATAATAAACGACTCATTTCCTGAACTAAGTCCCCTGGTGCAGGCTCTGAATTAAGTCCCCTGAAACAGACTCCTGAAGTAGGTCCCTGAAGTTCCCCTAAGCAGGTCCACGAAGCAAGTTCCTTTCAGCAGGCTTCTTAGATGTGGTCTCCTGAAAGCCGAAAGCGGCTCAAGAACGCCTTTGAGAAACGGCTGTGTGTCGTCCCCTGTGGGCAGTGTTGAGGCGGTACACCCACAGGGGAGGGACACTGAATATAATCGCTGCTGAACTTAACGTGTATCTGAGGAGATGTGTCGTTGGCATATGTGTGTCTTACGTTATTTAAATGACAATCACGAAGTTCGGTCATTGTCGGAAGGGATTCAGTCATCCAAACGAGAGACTCAGTCATCACTCCACAAAGTGACACCACAGACGGGTGAAGGAGGATGATCTAAGCTGTGTGTGGATGAGCACCAAGCGTGTGGAGTCACTGTCGTTGTCGCGAACCATTAAGAAACTAGCTGAAGGAGTTTGTAAAAGGTCAAGGACGAGCTGCTCCAAGTCTCAAAGTTATTTACTTTCTCCTGGCGGTGATACAGGAGGCAGAAGACTGTGTGCACCTCTGTGGATGAGCGCCTCTTCTGCAGGTATCATCAGGGAATGGGGTCAACTTTTCCTCGAGTGTCACGAGGTATATGGTCGAGAACGTTCCCCTACTGGTCTCGTTTATCATTCCGGGAGGCGATGCAGGAGGCGGAGAAGGAAGAATTAGCTGTGAATAAGCGCCCCCTGGTGTAATGTCAGCTCCCACGCAGCGCCTCCTCAGAGGGACAACTTTTCCTCGGCTCTCAACAGCTTGTATACGGTCGAGAGCAGACAGCTCCATGACTGCCAACTGAGCCCAAAAGAGGTATAACTCAATCCTCTCTCATAAGTTTTGGATGACGAACTTTGACGAGGTTTACCCAGCCTGATGGCCAAATGGTCCTGGTGGAAGTTGGGCATAAAGTTGATGGAAATTTATCACAGTGAATCTCCCGCATAACTCCAGCCACATCAGAGTGACGATGATACATAACCCTTTACACTATTATCTTTACAGTCTTCTTCACCAGCTTACACGAAAGTGGAATTAATTCATTAAATAATAATAAAGAAAAAATGTTCGAAAACACATATTACATTATGATACACAGAAAGTAAAATAAAGTGTCCCCGGACCATGAGTCACCCCCAAGTGTCCCCGGATGAGTCACCACCACTAGTGTCCCCGGACCATGAGTCACCACCACAAGTGTCCCCGGACCATGAGTCACCACCACTAGTGTCCCCGGACATGAGTCACCCACAAGTCCCCGGACCATGAGTCACCATCACAAGTGTCCCCGGACCATGAGTCACCACCACTAGTGTCCCCGGACCATGAGTCACCACCACAAGTGTCCCCGGACCATGAGTCACCACCACAAGTGTCCCCGGACCATGAGTCACCACCACAAGTTTCCCCGGATCATGAGTCCACCACAGTGTCCCCGGACCATGAGTCACCACACAAAGTGTCCCCGGATCATGAGTCACCACCACAAGTTTCCCCGGATCATGAGTCACCACAAGTGTCCCCGGACCATGAGTCACCACCACAAGTGTCCCCGGACCATGAGTCACCACCACAAGTGTCCCCGGACCATGAGTCACCACCACAAGTTTCCCGGATCATGAGTCACCACCGTGTCCCCGGACCATGAGTCACCACCACAAGTGTCCCCGGATCATGAGTCACCACCACAAGTTTCCCCGGATCATGAGTCACCCACAAGTGTCCCCGGATCATGAGTCACCACCACAAGTGTCCCCGGATCATGAGTCACCACAAGTGTTGGACCATGAGTCACCACCACAAGTGTCCCTGGACCATGAGTCACCACCACAAGTGTCCTCGGACCATGAGTCACCACCACAAGTGTCCCCGGACCATGAGTCACCCACAAGTGTCCCCGGACCATGAGTCACCACTAGTCCGTAGACCATGAGTCACTACCAGGTCATGAGTCACCACCAGGCCATATGTCACCACCAGGCCATGAGTCACCACTAGGTCATGAGTCACCACCAGGTCATGAGTCACCACCAGGCCACGAGTCACCACCAGACCACTGGGTCATGAGTCACCACCAGGCCATGTCACCACGGCCATGAGTCACCACTGGTCATAGAGTCACCACCAGGCCACGAAGTCGCCACCAGGCCATGAATCACTACCAGGTCCTCAGTCACCACCAAGTCATGAGTCACCACACCAGGCCATGAGTCACCACCAGGTCATGAGCACCAGGCCACGAGTCGCCACCAGGCCATGAATCACTACCAGGTCCTCAGTCACCACCAAGTCATGAGTCACCACCAGGCCATGAGTCAGCACCAGGCCATGAGTCACCCGCAGCTCAACTGGTGTTCCAAGAGAGTCACCATCTGGCCACAGCTGGCTCACTCTCACCAGCTTTCCCGGACACCAGCCTAATGAAGGAGTTGTGTGTTTACAGATGGTCATGACTGTAGAGAAAGGAGAGAGGAACAACCTGGAGATGATGGGAGGAAGAAGAGAGAGGAGTGAGATGACGGAAGAAGAAAGAGGAGTGAGATGACGGGAGGGAAGAGAAGGAGAGAAAGGAAGAAGGGTGAGATGACGGGAGGAAGAGAAGTGAGAAGAAGAGGAAGAGAAGAGGAGTGAGATGACGGGAGGAAGAGAAGTGAGGGAAGGAAGAGAAGAGAGAGGAGTGTGAGATGACGGGAGGAAGAAGAGAGTAGAGAAGGAAGAGAAGAGGAGTGAGATGACGGGAAGAAGAAGTGAGAGAAGGAAGAGAAGAGAGGAGTGAGATGACGGGAGGAAGAGAAGTGAGAGAAGGAGAGAGAAGAGAGGAGTGAGATGACGGGAGGAAGAAGTGAGAGGGAAGAGAGGGGAGATGACGGAAGAAGAAGTGAGAGAAGGAAGAAGGGAGTGAGATGAGGGAGGAGAAAGAGAAGAAGAGGAGGAAGAGAGGTGAGATGACGGGAGGAAGAGAAGTGAGAGAAGGAAGAGAAGAGAGGGTGAGATGACAGGAAGAAGTGAGAGAAGGAAGAAGAGAGAGGTGAGATGACGGGAGGAAGAAGAGAAAGGAGTGAGATGAGGAGAAAGTGAGAGAAGGAAGAAAGAAGGAGTGAGATGATGGGAGGAAAGAAAGAGAATGAGATGACGGGAGGAAGAAAGAAAGAAGAGGAAGAAAGAGGTGGATAGGCAGGGAGAGAGAGAAGTGAGAGAAGGAAGAGAAGGTGAGATGACGGGAGGAAAGAAGTGAGAGAAGGAAGAGAAGAGAGGAGGAGATGACGGGAGGAAAGTGAGAGAAGGAAGAGAAGAGAGGTGTGACGGGAGGAAGAAGTGAGAGAAGGAGGAAGAGAAGAGGCGTGATATGACGGGAAGAAGAGAAGAGAGGAGTGAGAGGAGAAAGAAGAGGAATGAGATGACGGGAGAGAGAAGTGAGAGAAGGAGGAAGAGAAAGAGGTGAGATGACGGGAGGGAAAGAGAAGTGAGAGAAGGAAGAGAAGAGGAGAGAGATGACGGGAGGAAGAGAAGTGAGAAGGAAGAGAAGGGATGGAATGACGGGAGGAAGAGAAGAGAGGAATGAGACGTGGAATGGGAGAGAGGAGTGAGAGGAGGAAGAGAGGAGGAAAAGAGGAGAGGAGGAAGACAGTAAAGTGAGAGGAGGAAGACAGAAGAACGAGAGGAGGAAGAGAGAAAAAGAATAATAGGAAGTAATGAGAAGAGGAGTGAGGGGGAAGAAGGAGGAGGTTGGTGGAGGTGGGAGAAAAGAGAGAGGAGAGGAGAATACTGGAGGATGAAGGGGGGAGGGGGGAGGTGGGTGGTGCAGGAGGAGGGGGAGAAGGAGGAGGAGGAGGAGGTGGAGAAGGAGGAGGAGGAAGATGCTGAAAGTAGGAACAGAAGTTGGAGTGATGATAGAGGAGGAGGAGAAGGAAGGAGGGTAGGAAAGGAAAAAGAAGAAGAGGAAGAAGAAGAAGAAAGAAAAAAGAAGAAAAAAAAAAAGAAGAAAAGGGGAGGAGGAGGAAGAGGAGGAGGAGGAGGAAGAATAGGAGAAGAAGGTGGACGTGATTAAGTATTGAACATCCTCAAAGACAACATCCTCCAACCTCCCTTTAATCCTTTCCCCACTTTTAATCCCTCCTCCACTCCCTTAATCCCTCCCCACCTCTCAATACCCCCCAGGCTTCTGTATGATAAACACCCACATGAAAGAAGCTGTGTCTCAAGGCGTCAATGGTTGTACAACAGTTAGTGAGTGTTGGAGATGTTTATATCTGCTATTGTGAGGATAAGAGGAGGGCGTGAGGGTAGTGGAGGGGTGAGGGGTGGGTGGAGGTAGGGTGAGGGTGGTGAGGTAGGGTGAGGTAGGTGGAGGTAGGGGTGAGGGTAGGTGGAGTAGGGGTGAGGGGTGGTGGAGGTAGGGGTGAGGTGGAGGTAGGGGTGGTGGAGGTAGGGGTGAGGGGTGGGTAGGGGTGAGGGGTGGGTGGAGGTAGGGGAGGGGTGGAGGGTGAGGGTGGGTGGAGGTAGGGGTGAGGGGTAGGTGGAGGGGGGGGTGAGGTGTGAGGGTGAGGTAGGTGGAGGTAGGGGTGAGGGGTGGGTGGAGGTAGGGTGAGGGGTGGGTGGAGGTAGGGGTGAGGGGTGTGGAGGTGAGGGGTGGGTGGAGGTAGGGGTGAGGGTGGTGGAAGGAGGGATGAAGGGTATGGAGGAGGGGGGTGGATGGAGGCTATTATGAACACCAGAGACTAACTCAAATGAACTTCCTCAATAACCATGATATATATACTGCATAATATAATATATGTTTGGATTTTATATGAGCTCCAATGAATTTTTGTGCACGCACGCGCGTGTCGTTCTTTGAATATATATAATTACAAACAGCATCAAATTAGTCACTGTCCAGTAAGGTGACCTGGCTTACATAGTTTCTCGATGGGAAATATTATGTAACTATCTACTATAGCCATCTCATGACGACCTGTCCCTCTACACCCGTCTGTCGTGGAGGATTGTCTGTGTATCTATCCCTGTCCCTCTACACCCGTCTATCGTGGAGGATTGTCTGTGTATCTATCCCTGTCCCTCTACACCCGTCTATCGTGGAGGATTGTCTGTGTATCTATCCCTGTCCCTACACCCGTCTATCGTAGAGGATTGTCTGTATCTATCCCTGTCCCTCTACACCCGTCTATCGTGGAGGATTGTCTGTGTATCTATCCCTGTCCCTACACCCGTCTATCGTGGAGGATTGTCTGTGTATCTATCCCTGTCCCTCTACACCCGTCTATCGTGGAGGATTGTCTGTGTATCTATCCCTGTCCTCTACACCCGTCTATCGTGGAGGATTGTCTGTGTATTCATCCTGTCCCTCTACACCCGTCTATCGTGGAGGATTGTCTGTGTATCTATCCCTGTCCCTCTACACCCGTCTATCGTAGAGGATTGCCTGTGTCTATCCCTGTCCTCTACACCCGTCTATCGTGGAGGATTGTCTGTGTATCTATCCCTGTCCCTCTACACCCGTCTATCGTGGAGGATTGTCTGTGTATCTATCCCTGTCCCTTACACCCGTCTATCGTAGAGGATTGTCTGTATCTATCCCTGTCCCTCTACACCCGTCTATCGTGGAGGATTGTCTGTGTATCTATCCCTGTCCCTACACCCGTCTATCGTGGAGGATTGTCTGTGTATCTATCCCTGTCCCTCTACACCCGTCTATCGTGGAGGATTGTCTGTGTATCTATCCCGTCCCTACACCCGTCTATCGTGGAGGATTGTCTGTGTATCTATCCCTGTCCCTCTACACCCGTCTATCGTAGAGGATTGTCTGTGTATCTATCCCTGTCCCCACACCCGTCTATCGTGGAGGATTGTCTGTGTATCTATCCCTGTCCCTCTACACCCGTCTATCGTGAGGATGTCTGTGTATCTATCCCTGTCCCTCTACACCCGTCTATCGTGGAGGATGTCTGTGTATCTATCCCTGTCTCACACCGTCTATCGTAGAGGATTGTCTGTGTATCTATCCTGTCCCCTACACCCGTCTATCGTGGAGGATTGTCGTATCTATCCCTGTCCTCTACAACCCGTCTATCGTGGAGGATTGTCTGTGTATCTATCCCTGTCCCTACACCCGTCTATTGTGGAGGATTGTCTGTGTATCTATCCCTGTCCTCTACACCCGTCTATAGTGGAGGATTGTCTGTGTATCTATCCCTGTCCCTACACCCGTCTATAGTGGAGGATTGTCTGTGTATCTATCCCTGTCCCTCTACACCCGTCTATTGTGGAGGATTGTCTGTATCTATCCCTGTCCCTCTACACCCGTCTATTGTGGAGGATTGTCTGTGTATCTATCCCTGTCCCTCTACACCCGTCTATTGTGGAGGATTGTCTGTGTATCTATCCCTGTCCCTCTACACCCGTCTATCGTGGAGGATTGTCTGTATCTATCCCCGTCCTCTACACCCGTCTGTCGTGGAGGATTGTCTGTGTATCTATCCCTGTCCCTCTACACCCGTCTATCGTGGAGGATTGTCTGTGTATCTATCCCTGTCCCTCTACACCCGTCTATCGTAGAGGATTGTCTGTGTATCTATCCCTGTCCCTCTACACCCGCTATTCATCGTAGAGGATTGTCTGCGTATCTATCCCTGTCCTCTACACCCGTCTATCGTGGAGGATTGTCTGTGTATCTATCCCTGTCCCTCTACACCCGTCTATCGTGGAGGATTGTCTGTGTATCTATCCCTGTCCCTCTACACCCGTCTATCGTGGAGGATTGTCTGTGTATCTATCCCTGTCCCTCTACACCCGTCTATCGTGGAGGATTGTCTGTGTATCTATCCCTGTCCCTCTACACCCGTCTATCGTGGAGGATTGTCTGTGTATCTATCCCTCTACAATCTGCTCCATCGTGGAGGATTGTCTGT